TGTTTGAGTGAGTGTTTGAGTGAGTGAGTGTTTGAGTGAGTGAGTGAGTGTTTGAGTGAGTGAGTGAGTGAGTGTTTGAGTGAGTGAGTGAGTGTTTGAGTGAGTGAGTGAGTGTTTGAGTGAGTGAGTGAGTGTTTGAGTGAGTGAGTGTTTGAGTGAGTGAGTGTTTGTGTGAGTGAGTGTTTGAGTGAGTGTTTAAGTGAGTGAGTGAGTGATTGAGTGAGTGAGTGTTTGAGTGAGTGAGTGTTTGAGTGAGTGAGTGAGTGTTTGAGTGAGTGAGTGAGTGTTTGAGTGAGTGAGTGTTTGAGTGAGTGAGTGTTTGAGTGAGTGAGTGTTTGAGTGAGTGAGTGAGTGTTTGAGTGAGTGAGTGTTTGAGTGAGTGAGTGAGTGAGTGAGTGTTTGAGTGAGTGAGTGTTTGAGTGAGTGAGTGTTTGAGTGAGTGAGTGTTTGAGTGAGTGAGTGTTTGAGTGAGTGAGTGAGTGAGTGTTTGAGTGAGTGAGTGTTTGAGTGAGTGAGTGTTTGAGTGAGTGAGTGTTTGAGTGAGTGAGTGTTTGAGTGAGTGAGTGAGTGTTTGAATGAGTGAGTGAGTGTTTGAATGAGTGAGTGAGTGTTTGAATGAGTGAGTGAGTGAGTGTTTGAATGAGTGAGTGAGTGAGTGTTTGAGTTTGAGTGAGTGTTTGAGTTTGAGTGAGTGTTTGTTTGAGTGAGTGAGTGTTTGAGTGAGTGAGTGTTTGAGTGAGTGAGTGTTTGAGTGAGTGAGTGTTTGAGTGAGTGAGTGTTTGAGTGAGTGAGTGTTTGAGTGAGTGAGTGTTTGAGTGAGTGAGTGAGTGAGTGAGAGAGAGACACACCTGGTCGGTGATCTTCTGGAAGTGCACCTCCACAGTGCAGCTCTGCAGGTCTGGGTGCTCGTCTGAGCTGTGGATCAGCACCGACAGCTTCTTCGAGCGGATCTTCTGGGCCCGGTACCCGAACACAAACAGCATGGAGTCGATCACGTTGGACTTGCCACTGCCGTTCGGCCCGATGATACAGGAGAAGCGCTGGAGAGAGAACGGGTCAGGCAGAATGCAATGGTGAGATAACAGCGCTGGAAAACCATCACTCATCAACCTGATTACTCATTTATTCTATGCACTTTTATCGTGCCGTTTACACAAGTTAGTGTTTCTTATGTTCAGTAAATCACCTGTTTTTTAGACCCTGGGTTAATGGTTCTGAAATAAATGGCTAGCCTACCTAATCTATTGCATGTCTTGAAGACATTAATACACTCAGAATACACAGTAATACGCTTAATTTTTTCCTTGTGTCTGCTGCTGGAGTTTTGCACCTCAAACGATGATCAGTGAAGGCCAGATTGTAAAATCAGTCCACAAGAGGGCGCAATAACTCAACCCGACAGCAGTGTGCCATTGCCTAACGCACAGGCCAAGCCAGGGGTTCGTTCTCACACGCCTGAGAGGATTCGACAGATCTTCTCATCGCAGTACTGATCTCTGGCTTATTCGGTTCTTCAAACACATTTGTGGATTTGATTAAATATCTGGATTGAGTCGTCTGAGATTACTGTGCGTTCTTGTGTTCATTGGAAAGGGCAGATATATCGATACTGATGTGTGAAATGCAGATGGAGGGCCAGCAGTGATGAGCAGAGTGAAGGAGATGGAGGGAAGTGTGTACTGTGCTGGTGTAGAACGGCATAAAGAGAAAATCACAACAGATGTTGGACGTGATCCTCATGTTATGAAGAGGAGCGATGTTTCTACTGAAGTGAAAGCCCATTGAGGCGCTAGAGGTGGAGAATGTGAAGCTGAGGTCTGGTTCGTTTATATCGCACTGCTTTCTGGAAGTGAGTTTAGGGCAGTATTTAGATTTTCCGTCGTGATCGTGAAAAATGTCGCCATTGTAGGTCATTCGTGCTGAATCGAGAGTTGCCGTAGGAACTAACATCATCGTTCAGGGAGAAAACTGGACAGTGTAATACGCTTTTCCAACATCCCACCTAGAGCTGTCGAGATAACCACAATAATGCAGTACCGGGCTACCGCAGGCTAACCACAGAGGAACCGCAGAGCAACCGCAGGCTAAATGCAGAGCAACCGCAGGCTAACCGCAGAGCAACCGCAGGCTAACCGCAGAGCAACCGCAGGCTAACCGCAGAGCAACCGCAGGCTAACGGCAGACCAACCGCAGGCTAACGGCAGAGCAACCGCAGGCTAACGGCAGAGCAACCGCAGGCTAACGGCAGAGCAACCGCAGGCTAACCGCAGGCTAACAGCAGAGCAACCGCAGGCTAACCGCAGAGGAACCGCAGGCTAACCGCAGAGGAACCGCAGGCTAACTGCAGAGGAACCGCAGGCTAACTGCAGAGGAACCGCAGGCTAACGGCAGAGCAACCGCAGGCTAACTGCAGAGCAACCGCAGGCTAACTGCAGAGCAACCGCAGGCTAACTGCAGAGCAACCGCAGGCTAACCGCAGAGCAACCACAGAGGAACCGCAGGCTAACCGCAGAGCAACCACGATATTCACACGCTTCCTTTTTTCATAAGGCTACATCCTTCTTGTTTTGAACTATGTGCATGTGTACTGAATGTTAAATAAGTTAATGATAACAAGACTGTTTATGATGGTGATTTGTACAGAGGCTTCGTGGCTTTGCACATCAGCCTAATCAGACAGTGAATGAGATCGACTGAGCGCGTGCGATTACATGCGTCTGTCTTTCAGGTCAAGTCATATTTTCGTGAAAAGGTTGCCGTTTCCATTTGTCGGATCATCCTTTTAAGGTGTAAGGATGTTTACCGTGATCGGCGGCAGCGCTGGTCAGCACAGCGCGAGGAAGCCGCGGGAAACTAAAGTCAGCGAGTCGTGCACTGAAGCCCTGCCATCGGCCTCTATTAGCGAAGCTTCAGCGTTAGCCATGCGACGCATGCTGGTCAGCTGAGCCTTGAAAAGTGGAGCCCAAAGTAAAAAAAATAACTAACACCTTGTTTCATTACATCTATCGTCTAATGGCGTTTGTGAACGTGTTAAATGACTCAAAGGCAGTCAGTTTAGTTTCCGTTACATTGGTTACTGAAAGTGTCCTTGTTTTTTGTGCATGCTGACCACATCGTAACACTTATTTCTATAGCAACAAATAAATAATCAAAATAAATAAATAAATGGCATAGCGCGATATTGAGCCACTCAAAAATACTGCAGGGAAATCCCTTCACCGCGCCAGCAGTGCTGTTTCACACTCGCATCCAGACGACGGGTTTGGGCTGTGTGCATCTCCTTGAGCCTAGTTTACACTACAGGATTTAAGCCCGATTTGCAAATCGTTGAGCTCACCGACAGGTCAGGGTGTTACCACGTGCAAATCGCGGGAGATTAGCGGGCGATGAACGCTCGTCCATCTGTTAGTATGAAAGAGCCAACAACGCTTCAAAGACACTGGCAGACACGTCGCCGAGCCCAGAAAAATATCTAGCATGCTAGATATCCAGAGCTGTCGCACGACTCAACCTCAGTGATGTCATGAGCTACAGCCAATCAGAGCAAGGCATGCTCGCGTGTTGTGTTCTTCTTCGTCTTCTTCGCTGGGTATTGGCGCGCGTGATGTTTCGCGTCATTTCCGGTTCGTTTTATCGCGTGATTTTTTGTGACAAAACGTGGTTTGTAGACAAGATTGAATCGTTGGGTGACAGAGTTGTCAACTCGTGTAGTGCGTTACCTCCTGTTGCGGAGCAATCACGTCGTGTCGTGTGGTGTGAACAGCTCAACAACTTGAACACTCCTGATTTCACAGAGAGCAAGTCATGTAGTGTGAACCGCACAGTTCAGCCCGACGTTTTAAAATCACGTAGTGTGAACTAGGCTTTACACGTAACGCAAGGTATGCAATCAGATTACCTTTTCAAGTATCAGCATTACTTTTAAAAGTTACAACAAAATATCTGAGTTACATTTTCAAACAAGTAATGCAAGTTACTTGGTTTTCCCATGTATTGACTGACAGCTATGAAGGTATTTCTGTGCACACCGATACACACGTGTGGCTAATCTCTGCACCTACACACTCCACTGTCACAGGCCTTCAGCTGATCTGCACCAAAAACACCTTCATAGACAGCTCTCCTGTCCCCATGTTGAGACGAATCAAAGTGCAGAGGCGTTGTGTGTGTGTGTGTGCAAACATGATGGTTATGGTAGTTTTAATCTAGAGTATATGCGATTGTGAATTTACTCATCTCACTTGCAAAAAAAAATAAACATTCAATATTCCCCAAAATAAATTGAGCGTCAGCGTCAGTTCTGGCAGGCTGGTTAACTCCCCTCGCTGCTCAATGGCCAAAGCTCAAACAAGGCGCCCTATTTAAAGCTCATTCACCTTGCTCATACATGCTCGCTGCTCGCTTCTGCTGGCTCGCTGCTCGCTGCTGCTGCAATATTGACACAGGACGACGTGATTCATTCTCCATTCATCTCTGAAAATCTTCACGAAGCTAAGTTCCTTTTTAATAGTCATTGCTAAAAGCTATCAGTGTGTTGGCAACATGCTTCTTGTTAATGCTATCAGTGTGGCATTTGGGCTTATCTAACTAGTCGTTTTCATAAAATGCTTATGCGATCATATTGGCTACATGCGTTATCTGTTGTCATTGGCAACTGATCGCGTTGCTCACGCTGGCTTTTACCACTATGCAGCGCAGATTCAAACAGCTTGCTGTGATAGGAATTCACTTCTGCGGACTGCCTCCGGACCGTATACAGCTCATTCTTACGCATTGTGCAACAACTACGGCGGCGACACTCGCTCCGGTTTAACCCTTTAAGCTATGGGGCGGTGGTTTCTGCTGCTTACGAACGATACCTCCGTCTCGATGTTCGGGATATTCTTGACGACCAGAAGCCATGAGCTCAAGTCTCTGATTTGTTTCGTTAATAAAACACATTTGATCATTATTTTGCTCGCGCTCTGCTCAGTTAACGCCCCTGAATGCGCTATCAGCTGTTAATTTATTCATCTAGCTCGTTCTCAGAGGTGGATTAGTCATCTATCCATAGAGCTACACTGTAGACTGTCAAACAGTTTAAATACAGATAATCTAGGTAACAGTATGTTTTAGCTATTGCGGTCTTGATTAGTCATTTCAGTAATTAATTTATATTTTTACTATTATAAATCGCTAAATTAGGGCGGCTCAGTCGACACCGTTCGAGACACTCAATTCTGTTTTGGGGGGGAATAGCTCATGTAGTCAAATAAATCATCCTCTGTATCACAGAGGATTGCCAGGTGTGGTTTTGTTTGGGGGGATATTCTAGCTCTCACAGTCTAAAACTGTGTGAGCGTTCCCTAATGCTGCTGCTGCTGTCCTCTGACTCTCTGCTATTTCATGGTGCTCATGAAAGGTCAGAGGACTCCCTGAACAGAGCCATACCGCCAAATTTCAATTCAGGAACATCAACCTGTTTGCAATCTATTCAATTAAATTCTAAATGATTTTGTCTGTGTGTTCTTGACTTAATGGACCTGACAGAAATAACGTCAGTGAAATGCAGAATGGGGTTTGCTTGAGTGGCGCCCTCTACTGTACACACGCGGATCTGCGTTTCCTTCAGCCGGAGGCTTATCATGTCACTATTGGTGTAAAAGGGTCTTTACATTTGAAGATATCAATATTGTAACTGATTGTAACTGATGTTGCCTGTGGAAAGCGAACGAGGCACGCTGCTGAACGGAGAATGACTGACAGCTACAGCGGAGGGAGCAGTTTCATATTAAGACTTCAATAATCCCTCTCTATGTCACAGTAACCTATGTAATGTCTTCAGATTGTGCTCTGATGGAGCGAACACATCTAAAGCCTGGGACACACCAGGGCGACGGTCGGCCGACTCGTTTCCTCAGTGTTCCGCACCGTCGGCTGAAATTGTTCCTCGTCGGCTTTTTTTGGGCCAATTCGACATATTGAATCGGGCCGTCAGTGAGAGAGAGAACTCTGATTGGCTGTTCAGCTCAAAGCGGCACAGATAGAAGGCTCTTCTAGTGTTACGTCATCTTACCGGAGTGTTGCTTGGCCAATATTTCAATATCAACATGAGCAGAGTGGAATAAAGAAAGTGTTTAGCAGGATTGATATTCAAAATGGTAAGCACGCACTGCTTTGTTTATGGTTTGTGTATCTGCAGCCGGCAGTGTCGGTTTCCCTTTTTGAATGACGAATGTAGACGAATATATCTGCAGAAATAGACAGATGTCTCATTACACGCAGGCGCAGAACGCGCATTTGGCCCTAAAATATGGGTTGAGTAATTACTGACAGTTTTCATTTGTGGGAGAACTACCCCTGTAACAGCAGGAGTAACGGGCCGGAGCGGAGACCTGAGGTGGACAGGTCTGGTACCTTGTGGAAGGGGCCCAGGATCTGCTCCCCGGCGTAGGACTTGAAGTTCCTGTTGAGGATGTGTGTGATCATGAGGCGCGGGGCCCCGGGCTCAGAGCTCATGGCTGGGGGCGGCGGGGGGGCCACGCTCTCCAGGATCTCCTGCAGACTGCGCTGGTCCAGCACCTCCACCGGCTCGCCCACACACACTTCTGCAGCTGAACACACAACACAACACCAGTCAGAGGAGGAACACACATGTCTGCAGCTGAACACAACACAACACCAGTCAGAGGAGGAACACACACTTCTGCAGCTGAACACACAACACAACACCAGTCAGAGGAGGAACACACATGTCTGCAGCTGAACACACAACACAACACCAGTCAGAGGAGGAACACACACTTCTGCAGCTGAACACAACACAACACAAGTCAGAGGAGGAACACACACTTCTGCAGCTGAACACACAACACAACACCAGTCAGAGGAGGAACACACACTTCTGCAGCTGAACACAACACAACACACGACCTCAGTCACAGGAACACACACTGTTGAAGAGTTGAAGTTCGCTGTGCTTTATATAGGCTGTCGCGGTTATGGAATTTCCCTTGCGGTAATGTTGAGTGACTCAATAGCGCGATATTACCGCCATTTATTTATTTATTTAATTTTTATGTATTTGTTGCTATATAAATAAAGTTTACGATGTGGGCAGCATGGACAAAAACGAGGACATTTTCAGTAACCAATGTAACCGAAACTAAACAGCGTCTGTATGCGCATTGAAAGGCTTTCACTCAGCGCGCACATTGTTGCGACAACGGACTGACTTTGAGTGAGTCATTAAACCGTTCATTCAACGAACACGTTCAAAAAAGCTGATTCATTAAAAGAGATGTAATGAAACAAGGTGGTAATTATTTTTAACTTTGAGTTCCACTTTTCAAGGCTCAGCTGAGCAGCAAGGCGTCGCATGGGTAACGCTGAAGCTGATGCTTCACTTATTACAGACCAATGGCTTTGATTCAATGCGTGACTCGCTGATGTTATTTCCCCGCGGCTTCCTCGCACTGTGTAATGCTGACCAGCGCTGCTCCTGACGCACATTTATGGTAAATACCCGTGACGTGAACGTTAAAAGGATGATACGACAAATATTTCGCTTTCCTTTGACACGGCAACCTTTTCACGAATTTGACTTCAAAGACAGACGCAGGTAATCACACGCGCTCAGTCTCTCTCTCATTCACTGTCTGTGCAAATCCACGAAGCCTCTGTAGGCTACACATCACCATGATAAACAGTCTTGTTATCATTATGAACTTGTTTAACCCTCTGGGGTCTGAGGTGTTTTCGGGGTCCTTGAGATGTTTTGGCATGCTCTGACATTTCTGCTTTTTTCAGTTGCTTATAAACATATTAATGGCACAGGTGAAATTACACTCTATATAGCACACACAGGGCTACCATAATATGTGAACAACATGTTAATACATGTTTGTATTGTTGAGAGAATATTGTTTATGCGTGGTTATTGAAAAAACTAAAAAATAAAGTTTCTAATATAAGGCCACAAATAACATACTAAATATCTGTCCACAAGACTTTTGACTAGTGGATGTTGTCGCCTAGAGTTTTTGCTTCGAATTGATCTGAAAATCATTCTGCCTAATAGGGGTGTAACGGTACATGTATTCGTATTGAACCGTTTCGGTTCGAGGCTTCCGGTTCGGTACGCATTCAAACCGAACGATTCCTTGGACCATTTTTCCTGCCGACAAAATTCGCGCTGGCGCGATCACCACAACGTTGCGCAACATCAAATGGCAAGCGTAATGAAAGCGGAACGAAACTGCGTTACTCATTATGTGCTTCACGGGTCGTTTATCAGTTCGGACCAGCAACATCTGTGCAGCGCGAGCCTATGAGCGCGAGCCGATCTCGATCAAGCGATACTGTTACAACACAGCGCTAAGATCCAGTAAACAAAACATTTGAATTCGCCACTGAAGTAATAACATCGCTGCGAGATCTAGTGAGAAGCATTCACATTTCTCCGTTATTAACCGTAGATCTCTATCAGATCAAACAGCGCTGACGTGGACACCAGGAGAAACATTGTGCCGTGAATGAACTAGTAATACTTTACGTCCACAGACCAGCAACATTCACCATGGATTTAATATAGCAACACTAACTGTAACCAGTTTGGCTGGAATAGTGAAATGCTTTCAAGTACTTCACACATCTTTTTCCAGCACTTCAAACCTCAAATATTATATAAATAAATATAAGAGTTCAGATGCAAACGCCTCTAAGTGCCATTTGAAATTTTCTTCTAGAATGATCATTTTTATGAGGCTTGTATATTGAAGTTCAGTAATTTCACTCAAATGACAATTAATAGGTAATCTTCATTGCCATTTAAGTGAAATTACTGAACTTAAATATACAAGCTTGATAAAAATGATCATTCTAGAAGAAAATTTCAAATGGCTTTTGCATCTGAACTCTTCATACATTTAAATGTTATTTTTAATGTGATGACCAAAACATTATTTATGACTATTTATGATTATTATATATGACACCCATTTATAAACCTGAAAGTTTCAAGATGTAGGAAAACTCACACTTATTTAAAAAATATTTTTTTCTTTTAACAAATAGGAAATTTCTCTGGTATTTCTTACTTTTTGCTGTATCGAAAAACGTACCGAACCGTGACTTTAAAACCGAGGTACGTACCGAACCGTGATTTTTGTGTACCGTTACACCCCTACTGCCTAATCATTCACATAAAACAATAGATTGTTTTAAATTGTGAAAAACATTTTTTTGTTTGCAAAGGCAATATGCGGATGGGCGGAACGGCCCAACCCCCTCATGAATAATTAGGCAGTTCTCACCTGAGCAGACTGCATACTAATGAGCCTTTCATTCAGTGGTGTCACACAAGAAAGAATGCAAGGACAATATATATATATATAAATAAATATGTATACACACACATATATATATATATATCTATATATATATATACACTACCGTTCAAAAGTTTGGGGTCAGTGAGAATTTTATTTTTATTTTTTGGAGGAAAGAAATCAATACTTTTATTTATCAAGGAATAATTAATTTGATCGAAAGTGACAGTAAAGACATTTATAATGTTACAAAAGATTCTAACCCTAACCCTATTAATCAAAGAATCCAAAAAAAAACAAAAAAAACAAAAAACTATACAACTGACAGACCAACAACTGTTTCAACATTGATAATAATAATAAATGTTTCTTGAGCATCAAATCCTCATATTATACTGATTTGTGAAGGATCATTTGACACTGAAGACACTGACACTGGTGATGCTGAAAATTCAGCTTTGATCACAGGAATAAATTACACTTTACTATATATTCACACAGAAAACAGCTGATTTACACTGGAGATAATATTTAATACTATAACTGATTTTTGTTGTATTTTTAATCAAATAAGCGCAGCCATGGTTAGCAGAAGAGAATTCTTTTAAAAGTATTTAAAATCGTACCGACCCCAAACTTTTGAACGGTAGTGTATATATATACATATATATTTACAAACAATCAAAATATAAATGAAAGCCAAAAGCACATTTTTAGTCACACCTTTTAGCCATCCACATCACATTTTTAGCCATCCACCGCGGTAAAAATAAACCAGTCGCATTTCAAAGTCGTTCGCGAAACGACCGCCAGGTGGCGCAAAGGGACATTTAGCAAAACGTAAGTGGGGCTAATGTCTGTAGCCTAAGGATGAAATACTACAAGTTATGGTAATTTCCAAATAAGCCTACAACAAACATTTATAGCCTACTCCGTAATTGTTGGTCATACAGATAAGATATAATCTTTTAAAACTGTAAAAGGCTAAAGTATAGGCCTACACTCACAGGCTAAATGAAAAAATCGCTCATGTGAGAAACAGACGTTTGGGTATTCCCCAGTGAGAAAATTCATAGCCGAGCGGTAGAACTTAGGGTTCATCATCAAGATGACACGGGTTCAAATCCCGCACAAACAAGGTCTGCTGAATATTTTATATTTATTTAGATTTGTCTAGCTCTAAAACTCTGTTACACCATACAGTTTTTTTTTTGCTTATATTTATAAAATACAATTATCATGCATTTCCATTTTACACTAAGGAAAAAAAATAGTATCCAACAGAACGACTTTGCATCTGTATAATAATAGGCTACCAATCGTAATTTCAAAAGCAGTTATGTAAAAAAATTAATTATATATAGCCTATATATATATATATATATATATATATATATATATATATATATATATATATATACTATATACACTCACCGGCCACTTTATTAGGTACCCCATGCTAGTAACGGGTTGGACCCCCTTTTGCCTTCAGAACTGCCTCAATTCTTCGTGGCATAGATTCAACAAGGTGCTGGAAGCATTCCTCAGGGAGTTTGGTCCATATTGACATGATGGCATCACACAGTTGCCGCAGATTTGTCGGCTGCACATCCATGATGCGAATCTCCCGTTCCACCACATCCCAAAGATTCTCTATTGGGTTGAGATCTAGTGACTGTGGAGGCCATTTTAGTACAGTGAACTCATTGTCATGTTCAAGAAACCAATTTGAAATGATTAGAGCTTTGTGACATGGTGGAAGTAGCCATCAGAGGATGGGTACATGGTGGCCATAAAGGGATGGACATGGTCAGAAACAATGCTCAGGTAGGCCGTGGCATTTAAACGATGCCCAATTGGCACTAAGGGGCCTAAAGTGTGCCAGGAAAACATCCCCCACACCATTACACCACCACCACCAGCCTGCACAGTGGTTACAAGGCATGATGGTTCCATGTTCTCATTCTGTTTACGCCAAATTCTGACTCTAACATCTGAATGTCTCAACAGAAATCGAGACTCATCAGACCAGGCAACATTTTTCCAGTCTTCAACTGTTCAATTTTGGTGAGCTCTTGCAAATTGTAGCCTCTTTTTTCTATTTGTAGTGGAGATGAGTGGTACCCGGTGGAGTCTTCTGCTGTTGTAGCCCATCCGCCTCAAGGTTGTGCGTGTTGTGGCTTCACAAATGCTTTGCTGCATACCTCGGTTGTAACGAGTGGTTATTTCAGTCACTGTTGCTCTTCTATCAGCTCGAACCAGTCTGGCCATTCTCCTCTGACCTC